TCAGCAGGAGTGAATTGAACTGCTGGGGTCATTTATTTTTCAAAGAACAAGAGCTGGAGTTTGGTTTTGGGTGGGGAGATGTTTGATGTTTTTTTTTTCCCCTAATGCTCCTTGCTCTGCAGCCACTGAGCTGCAGACCTGAAATCTACACTGGCAGCTTCCATCACAGCTCAAAGTGACACTTCTTCTGTTCTTCCTTCCCTTTTATGAAAAAAAAGCTGCATTTTCATGGCGTTTTTGCACTTACTTCATAGGTAGCAGGGGACATTTCCAAATCATTGTGTGGAAGCAGGTGCCAGATTTGAGAGATGTGTCATTCTGCTGAACTGAGGAGGGTGGGAAGGTACACACTCAGAAATGTGAGCAGCCTGGATCATTTTAGGAGTTCTTGACGCATCTTCATGGACTCTACCCATGGACTTATGTGTCTGACTCCAGGAAGAACTCTCCCCACAGATCTATTAGCTCTGGGATCCTTTCAGCTTAGCAATTTCTAGCACCTAACATGCCATTACAACTGTGTTACTGCTGCAGCTCTTTGCAGCTAAACTCCCCAGAATGAGCAATTTCTCAACTCTAAGAGAGACAGCACTTCCTAGATTTGTTGTCTCAAATTAAAATGAAACAAAAACACGTAAGTTTTTTTGCTGGGATTTCCATACCTTCTCCACCATCAGGCCAGCCAACAACTTTCTGGAATATAGAAGTAATTGTTGCATCCCTGAAACAGTCTCAGGGCACCACTGATGCCCTCAGAGAACCTTCTAGCTGGATGAAGTGGCAACTCTCAGGCTTTTCCCTCTGAGGCTCTGCAGTGCCCACTCTAGCAGGCTTGGTACTCTACAGACTGGGATAAGGACAGAAGAAAGAAAAGCAAGGGCTAACTAGCAGCAAAACAGACTGCTGCAGCCACAGAGAGAAAGATGCACTGGTAGTACTTGCTTTGCAAATGAAGTTTTCCAATCTCAACAAAAGGACAATAGCTAATGCCTGGGTCTGCAGGGTGAGACAGACCCTTGTGTCTCATTCAATTGCTAGGCAGATCTGCAATTGCCACTAGCTAACTCATCCGTCAGCTGCCAATCTACTGCAAAACTTGAGTCTTTTCTCCTCTTGAGAATTCCTTGAGCCCCATTATTTTATGCAAGTTACAACTCAATCACATGCAGGGGAAAAAAACCAAATCAAACAACGCTGTCTTATTTTAGAAATGCTATGACGCATTCAGAGCAAGGAGCTCAACAGACTGATTATGAACACTTGCCATGGGAAACCTTTATATGGATGTTGCCGCAAAATTACAATACCCAGATGCAAAACAATGCAAAGGTATGTGCCTGCCACCATTATTATGAAGTTGAAGCTCCTCTCTGCCAACAAACTCCTAGACATATGTAGGGAGCTAACAAACTTTTGGTCCAAATGGGAAACTGCAACATAGGGAGGGTTTAAGAGACCTGGACAGAGTCACGGGAGCAAAAAAATTCCAGCTGAGCCCCTTAATCACTCATCCACCCTACCTCTTCTCCAAGGGCCAAATTATAGAAAGAAATTAAAAATATATGACAAAAAATTACAAAGCAGGCAATCCAAAAAGAGCCTTTCTGAAATTTCTCTTGCTCATGCTGTTGTGGATGGGCTGGCAAAAGGGGCCTTGACCTTCTCTGTAGCGCCCAATTTTAAATGTGATACCTTTAAATGACACACTGGCAAAAAACAGGGCAGATCAGATCTTGTATGGTTTGTTCTTTCTTCTCTTCACTGTACCATGAGTCCTCTCGGGAAGCTCTGCCCACTGCTATACATTTGCCCTGCTAGGCAGGCCATGGTTCCTGGTTTACTGTTCTTCTTCAGGGGGAACAGAGGATCTGTCGGACAAGCAGCGTGACAAGACAGGGAGACGCTGCTGGTTCTCTCACCCCTCAGCATCAGTGATACCTGCTAGGTAAGCACATGCCCTTCGAGTCCTTCACCAGCACTGTTCATTCGAGCTGCCCCACCTGCCGACTGCTGAAGGTCTGCTGAAGGGACAGAGCCCAGCACTCCAAACTGCGGGAGCTCTGGAGGTACTAACAGCAGGGATGGAAATCAGACCTGCTGCTATGGCAACGTGGCCTCCTCCACTGATGAAGGCACCACACCTCCCCTCTGCTCCAGCTGTGAGGCATTGATAAGGAACAGCATGGAGATTTTCCATGAGGCACAAGAACAGGAGTGGAGGAGGCTGACAGGCGACACCAGCAGGGCTAAGGATCTGATTGCCTGATCTCCTCTTGCGACACCCTCTGCAGACCCTCTTCGATTCCAGTCTCCCACTAATGCAACAGCATCTTTTGTTAAGGAGGACACAGCAGCCAGAAAGATCCCCTTCCCACCCCACCACCTTTAGATGATCTGTTCTAAGGCCTTGGTGATTGCTTAGCCAGGGAGTATGCTCCCCTTCCCCACCTCCAGTATTCTGCCTTCACATTCCGTCGTGACCAGGGTCAGTATGCTCTGAAGTTGCAGGATCTCCTTGTGACTCCCAGATTCTCACAACAAGATGCTGCTCCATGGTGAGATGCTACTTTTGCTGCAAGAAGCCAAGCCATTACTTCCAGTGGTAACAGCCACAGGCACTCTCCCTTCACAAACCAGACGTGGAGGACCACACACAGAAATCAACATCCCTGTACTGAGTGGGTTACCAGAGTAACTCTGCACAAGGAGTCCTTTGCAAAACTCTTATGCAGATGCTTCTATTGCCTCATTAATAAGACTCATTGGCCATCTCATTCTCCCTCCCTAAAGTCCTGCCCGAATGTAACAGCAGGTCTCTCAGAAAACATAGTTCATGAAAGACCTTGCCAAGGAAACTTGTTTGTGTCAGCAAGCTGGGAACATTAGAGCACTCCTGGGAGTTGCTCTAACATTATCACTCTTTCTCACTGTTCAGCTACTTTTACCAGCGCCACCCCCCCCACCCCCCACCCCCCCCGAGTGTCCTATTACTAGGAAGTAATAAGGTCACACACAGAAAATAGGGAGGGCACTGAACTCTTATTTTTTTTACAGAGATTTTTCCAGTCAGCCTCTCTGTCCTGTTATGACGGCTACATGACCAGAGCTTTAAATGGCTAAGGAATGATCCTCTTACAGTTGAGGGTTTCTGTATTTGCAAGAATGTATTAACAACATTCCCAGTTTGACAACCCTGATTCCACCCTCTGTTAGCCTGGAGGAGAGCAATTTCAATCTCTGCTTCTCACAGAAATTCCTGTTGAGACATACAAGCAAGTTGTTCAGTAAGCAGCAGAACTAATGAAGAATGGATTCCAACAGAGATCTCTTCCATGGATTATCTGATGCCTAATAAAGGTGTGACTCTGCTGACTTTTCACTCAATGAGACTGCCTCTCTCTGTCTGCCAGCTTCCATGAAATTTGTAAGAGCTCATACTTTTTGAGACTGACTTACACCTCTTGAATTTGGCCTAAACAAGACAGCAGATTCAAAAGTCTGTTGGGAAGAGGTGACATACACCTCATTTCTTTAGAAAGCAAAACAAAAAACATTACTTCAGCAAGAAGTGCACAGAGAGGATTCTTTTTAAAAACAATCCTTCTCACCACCCTTCTCAGCTAGCTTCACCCTCTAAAGCAACCTAGGTCATAAATATCGCAAGCACAAGTTTGACAAAGGTTCCACTGTAGCCAGCAAGCTGTCTTTACTGGAAACTGGATTTCAAGCTGGCATTTGCCAATGTATCTTTCCTCCCTGTATACAGCTACTTTTGCAAGCAGATCGTTGAACAGATATTTCACAGACCTGCCAGCTTTTCTCCCTCCCTCTCAAATGTGTAAAGCGTACCTGGAAGCATCTAGGAATGGCTTGTAGGCAATGGTTATCCACTCTTCTTTGTTGGAGGAATACCTTGGCTCCCTTGGGGTTTCAGCTGCTGTATCCAGGTCCACCAGATAGTGGCATTTGGAAACATCAATCTGCAGAAAGACAGACATTCTTGTGGTTTATTTCCTGCAGGCTTCTGGTCATATGTGTTCATTTATACAGGCTGTTACTTATCAATGAGAAGGGGGTTAAATTTCTAGCAACAGGTGAAATGCTTCATGCAGAATACATGGTAAAATATTTTTAATGTTTTCAAGTAAAACATTTATGGGGGAATACAAGCTATCGCTATCGTTCTGGTCATAGGCAGAGAGTCCTAGGGTCCCCCTCTGAGGAAGTACCACTACCAGCTCTCTTACTGAGGAACTGTCAAGTCATTGAGGGGAATTTGAGGTGGCAGAACCAATTCTGTTTATGTTTTTCCTGCTGGCTGTCTAACTAGCTATTAAAGACTTCTTTAATAGCAAGGTCCCCAGGCAAAAGACTTCACGATCTTTATTGTTAGAAAGGTTTCCTGATATCTACACGGAATCTTTTTCTGTCTCAGTTCATGCCTGTTCCTACTTGTTTTACACCATGAACAAGGAAAACATCATTTTCTTTGTGATAGTTTTAACATATTAGAGTTCTGTTATCTGAAGATGGCTCTTGTCTTCTCTACAACCCTATTTTATTCCATAGTTGTGTTTTCTACCCCTGTGATCGTTCTTGTGGGTCTTCAATTAGTCATATCTATCCATTTATAAACATCTCCCAGGTATAAACAAGGATACCTTCCACTCAGCAATCCACTGCACTTTCAGGAAAGAAAGTAATGAGGAGACTAAGTGACTTGTAAGGAAATTTTTGTGCTAGGCCAAGAACTTCCATCATGGATCTTGGTATAAACTGGTTACAAGTTTTTTCTGAAGACAGCAACAAAACCAGATCATTGTGCTGAATTATTGTCTGGAAACAGGCTCCATGGCCCCAGCACCACACAGCATCATAATCAGATCCTGTCAATAGTGCACACACAAAAAAATTGTCTCTCAGCTGGTGACACAAACTCTTGGTCCTTGCTCATCCCTCAGGTGCTCTGAAGAGAATGTGGACTGCAATCTCACCTTTTTCATGCACAAGCTTTTCAATATGCAGGCTATGGGGGAGTTCTTGCAAGGTCAGATCATCACTGAACTTTGTAAAATGACAGATCCCTCCAGATTTATTTATTTTTTTTGCAAACAGTCAGGGCAACCGGGGCTGGAAGGGAAAGACTAAGGACCCTATCAGGAGGAGGACTCACATTAGTAAGTTATGTGCCTGGTGGAAGCAACATGATCAAGTTTGGGGAGCAACAAGTCCCTCGTCCATTTGGTTTCATTGACTTCTACACAGAGGGCCCATGACCTTCATGAGAGATCTATATGCAGTCCTTAGGAGGCCAGCTCTCCCAAATGACAGTTTTCCCTTTAACAATGGCAGGTCACAACATACGCAGTTGTGTCTTGTTCATTGCACAACAGTGTGTACATCTTATCAAGTCAGGAAAAAAAGGTAATGGGTGATGACCAGGTGTTTCAACAAGGAAACAAATTTCCTTAGAGTCAATGCATAAGTTTGCCACATTGAAAAGATGAAGAAAAAGGCAAAGCAGCTATAGCTGAATTAGTCAAATGAAAAGCTAAAGCCCCTTAAGCCAGGTTTGCAAAGGCCTCTACCCATCAGTTATCTTAAATACAGCCAACTGAGACTCTCCAGGATGACTATGTCTTATTCTGTCTTACTCCCTCAAACTGTTCCTTAAGGGATCCCACATTTCAGTTTGCTCTTCCACAAAGTTTTATTGCAAATTTCCTTAGACATGCTTGAATTCACTTTTCTGAAGCACCTTTGGGGTTTATTGTAACAATTTAGGCAGAAAACAATTTAATTAGGTGGATACCAGATGGCTTGATGGCATCACAACTCAGTGGCAAATGAAATTACACCATGGGAAACTCAGCTGAGAATGTTGAGTCTACTTCTTGCACTGTATGAGAAGAACATTCCAGGCCATGAAAGAGGTTCTGGCTCATTAGCAAGACGACTCCCAAACCACTAACCAAGTTTTTCTGTAAATGATGTAGAATCATTCAGAGAAAGACAAGTTACTGCCTCAAGCACCAAGACTGATCTCACTTCTCTCATTCTAAATGCCCCCCTAAAAGGGCTGGCACTTCCAATACATGTGACTTATCCGCTAGGTGGAAGACAGATTTCCCTTCTATCACTCCAATTAGAGCACAATGCATTCTTACAAGTTACACTGAAGCTAAGGATAATATTCATCCTGGTCAGAGGGCCAACACAGTACCTACACATACATTTGGGGATTTACACAAGACTTCGGTGATGTACAGACCTTGAAATGTTTCTTTGTAAAAAGAAGTCAGACTCAGTGGAAGGAGCTGCAAAGAATTTCTAAATTACATCCTATCTTCTTCTGTTCTCCTTCCCTTTTCCTCTTCTCACTCTTTGTTTATTTGATGCAACTGCTGTGCTAACCGGTGAAGAACTACATTTGATCAGTGGTGTCTGGATGGATGTTAGCCTGGCCATACAGAGCACAACAGGAGCTTGTCTTGTTTACCATAGATAAAGTTCAACTGTTCTGAGCAAAACCAGCGATGTTCTACTGATCACTCAAATGCACATTTCAAAAATGAGACCAAGCTTCAGATGGTTCCTATGGTTCAAAATAGAGCTAAAGGGAATTGGAAAAGAAGTGAAAATAAAGTGGTTAAAAAAAACTTCCTCTGAAGTCAGGAGTTTTTAACATTTTCAGCTCTTAGGCCTAATCTACTTTTCCTGCTTGATACATCTTTATAAGAAATAATACTCCTTATCTCTTTCTTAGCAGTTTCAGAGACAAATGTGTCTCCCCAGTAGGACAAGTACAAGTTAAGTGCTGTTCAACATGATTAAGGAAGGAAGAATTGCAAAACAAGAAAGATCAAATCACTCTTTTCCCCAGTGTTCCATAGCAACACTGAGATTCACTCTTCGTTTTCAAGCAGAGCAGTAATGGATACTTACACTTGAAAAAGAGAGATCAGTCCCATTTCTGCAGCTATTAATTAGTTTTAAGCTCCATGGCTCAGATAAGCCTTTTGAACCATTTGTTTTCTCCCCTTTAGGTGACCAACAGACTCATGCTATTTAGATTTATTTGCTATGATGGTCCTTTCCAGTACTTGCTAACTTTTTTTTTTTTAAAAATCTGGGTATGCTTGCAGTCGTAAGCTCACTAAATTTGAGAAAAGATCTTGTTCTCTTGGTGTTATTAGCAGGTCAGAAGTAAAAGTTTTAAAATTCCATCTAAAATTCACATTTAGTAGCTAATTTCTAATATTCTAGGCCCTTTTGCTTGCATTAGAAATAACAAAATTGTAGGGTGACATTAAGAAACAACCATGAAACAAAAGTGTGTTTTGCTCCATTAGTCACAGGCTGTGCACCAGCCAGCTGTCTGTACTAAAAATATGCCACAGTTAAAGATTTCGTAAATTAAATGCACTGCAGCAGACAGCTTCTCTCAGGTGGGAACACGCCTCCTTCGCATTTCCAGTAACTACATAATGAGGCTCAAAATAAGAGAGCTTTAACCCAGAAGACTGATCCTTGCTTTTACCCACACAGTTTGCTCCTGTGTTATAGTACTGCCTTCGAGCAGATCACAAGTGCTTGTACAATGTCTAACAGGCCAAAGTCATGAGCCACATAAACAAGCATATGTATACTGTCTTCAGCCAGGACAGACCCACTCATGTAAACCAGAGACCTGGTCTATTAACAGGTGAGTGCTTCCAATATACTGATGGACATGCCAAACCTATCCTCCAAGGTGCTAAGAGAGAATGAAGAAAGGATAATGCATTTCTTGGCAGTTCCTCTCATTCAACCGTAGGACAAAAAAGAAAAGATGACTAAATATTTAGTGCTCTGCAAAGAATATTTAGTGCACTGCTAAGATTTAACCTGCTAAATAATTTTAAAGAAGCTAGCTGACAATAATTTTAAAATATTCATATGTGTCCACTGTTTTTGTTTAGGTAACACAATACAACCAGGAAACATAACAAATTAATAATACCAGTATACATCATCTTAACAGATTCCCATTAAAATCATTGATGCAGTTGTTTCAGTGAGGTTCCAAATTCAGTTCCTCCTTCTCAGTTGCAAATACGATGAATACATTTATATTTAAAAAGAAAGGAAAGTACAAAGGAAAATTTCAACCCCTGCTTAGTGACAAACATTTTCTGTTGGCTATTTCAAACTACACATTCAGTCCACTTTCCTGTGACCACAGTAACACATTATACTAAACCAAAAATTGCAATAACTAGGAATTATTACTTCTTCCGCTTCCTTTTTTATTATTATTATGTCTTTAAATGAAAAATAGGCAGATGAAATGCAAACAGAAACCACTGACATAAATGGGGAAATATCGAAGTGCTGCAGAGAGCCCATTTGTGTTCTGTAACTTTTATGGTCCCCATGAAACAAAATGGGGAGACCCAATCATGGGCATTATATTAATACAAATTATATAGTAAGGTAAGGAAAAGAAAACAGCAATATAATTCTTACGTATCGAGATGGCTCTTCCTTGTTTTGGTCGTTCATGTCAGTGGGAATGATCCGTGTGGCCATTGGTCCCTTGGCAAATGGTTTTGGTAACTGGCCCCTGAATTCCGACAGGATGAACTGGAGCTGCCAACTGCAGAGAACAGTGTCAGAAAGCCCAGCAGGAAAATGCAGGAGCTAGTAACATTTTGTGTGGAGAAAACTGAAAGCATAACCAAGGACATTTTATTCCTGAGGGTAGACAGCTCTGCTAGAGGAGCAGTCACATTACAAATTTTCAGTAGCTTGTGGCCAGCATCATCTGCTGAAAACAAGCTTTAGAATCCCTTGGTTTCGATATGGTGGTGTCAACAGAGATACAAGGTTTTGAAGGTTACTCCCATAAATACTTCTTATGAGAAGGGCTCCTCCTTATGAATCTCACCAAAGTGTACCTTTTACATTAAATAACTTACTTCTCTGGCAGGAGAAAGCTGCTTGGAAATCTGTGCCACTCCTTTCCCACACAGACATTAACCGGTCTCCCCTCCGGCACAGTGTGAATACTCGGGTCAGTAGCAATCCTGTGAAATTCTGGATACAGGTCCAGGGGCCCGTGGTAGCCTATGGTAGACAGAAAGTTGTAAATATGGCTGAAGAAATAGGTTATATTTACAGGACTACTTTTGAAAGACTACAAAAAATTGTTCATACATAACTTTTTAACTGATAACTTCTTGAATAAACAAATTGGTCTGTGCTAAAAAGTGGCTGAATTCCAAATCTCCCCCTCCTTTTAGAAGTGATTGTACCCTACCACCTTTATTCACATTCTCCTGTCCTGACTGTCAATGGCTACTATCAAGCAAAAAAATATTGATGACATGGGAAGGTTCACTGCATGGCTCTGAATCAAGAAAGTACTTAAGGGCCATATCTAATCCATCTCCATTAGGACACATGCACCTAATTACAAGTTTTATGTGGGAAAATGCTTTTTGAAGTCGGATCATATGTTTGAAAGGTAAAAGTATCTGCTTTAATACTAGTTTGGGTACAGGCTTTATATCAGTATAGTTGTACAGGCTGAAGGTGATGGGCAGCAGATTTTTAACGGATATAATTCTAGTGATATATTCATACATACATAAACACATATACAAATTCATACATACATGTGTGAATGTGCATATACATACACGCACATATATAATCATTCATTAACAGTGACTGTTAGAACTTATTCCTTTCCCCACAACAATGGCATCCAAACTTTTGAGGTTCCTTATTTCTACTGTGCTGCCTATAGTCAAAGCAGTACAGCTTTGGCAGGCCTTAAGACTTGCCAAAACAAATCCCCAAGAAAGCACAGAAGAGGTCTAAAATACCAACCTCTGAATAAGGCAACAGAGCGTGACAATGACAAAAGGCCAAAGAGAAAGACAGTCCCCAGAGCCAGCCAGTTGGAGGAGACTGTGTAGTGTTCCAGGCGGTAGCGCTGGAATATGAAGTGGTAACATTTCTGAGGAAAGATTATTTAAAAAAAAAAAAAAGACAATATAAAATTACTCAAACTCTGATATGTTTAGCAAAATTCGATTTTTCATAAGGACCTTACAGCAGTGCCTGTATCTCCCACCAAATCTTTGGTTTTCATTTTTTCATTCAGACCCATAAAAAACACACAGAAATTCACATAGTTCAGTCACATTTCTTAACTGATAATCTAGGGTATTTAAAGATGTTTTCAGCTCTTTTCCGTAGGAAGGCCTCTAGTCAAGCTGTAAAGTGCTCTTTACCAGGGCTTCAGCTTGGTTGTTCCCAGGTGAACCAGCAGCAAGTGTCCCTTTCAGACACCTCTGCAGAACTTCCCGACACAGACAGACCTCATTTTCAGTGCTGGACTGACTTCCTCTCTAACAGAAGTTCCATGACCCAAATTTACTGAGCGACCAATGGTTGTTCATTCTGTCTGCACAGACTACAGCTCTGAAGTGGATAAAAGAACACACAGCACACTCTGCATCCACCTTTAAACACAAGTCACTCTGAAATTGTTGAAAGAAAAGCCCTTTAGATTTTTCTAATTTAAAAGGCTTTCTGGGGATACTCGGGAGGAACTGCATTCAATACTTGGCTTGGTCCCTGACTCCTGCTCTGCCTTTCTGCAGGAGTGGTTATTCACTTCCTATCCTAATCTGGTTTCTGCTCCTCTTATTTGCACTTTTCTCATTAACAGCCAGATCGATGTGGCTTGGAGGAGTAGACACTGACAAGCTTCTACTACTAGAGGGCAATCAGTTCTAAATTCTTATCTGGATACTGAATACTGGACAAAATGTCATCACACAGTGTTAAAATATGCAGGACAAAAATATACACTAGATTTTCCTAAAGCCATATTTGGCAAAGGTCCTAAACCGTTGCCCTCTGATGAATGTTCTGACAGCACATAGCAACTCTCAGTCAGAGCCATAAAACTGCTGACATTACAGAGCTTGATCCTGTAGAAATGCAAGGACTGAAACTAATCTAGGGTGCTCCAGCTTAGCACTGCAAAGCATCAGCAGCGATGGGAGATCAACAGTCAGAATAGCAACTGACCAACAGAAGAATGAGACTGATTTGAGGGGTGCAGGCAGTGCTGGTGGGGAGTCCAAGACAGGAACAGCCAGCAGTGAACAGCAGAACAGACGAGTAATAGCAGAATGAGGCTGAGCAGCTGGAACAAGCTAGGGTGCTCCAGCTTAGCACTGCAAAGCATCAGCAGCGATGGGAGATCAACAGTCAGAATAGCAACTGACCAACAGAAGAATGAGACTGATTTGAGGGGTGCAGGCAGTGCTGGTGGGGAGTCCAAGACAGGAACAGCCAGCAGTGAACAGCAGAACAGACGAGTAATAGCAGAATGAGGCTGAGCAGCTGGAACAAGCTCTATCAGGGACTCGTGACTGCATTCCTTCTTGAACAGAGGAAAGATGAATAATTTTGAGCTTTGGGAAGGTTTATATCAATCTATATTAGTGCTTTACTCCATGAAGTGTTTCAAGTGATATTTACTGAACGCCCAATTGTTGGCTCTTCCAAACGTTCAACACAATTTCACAATGCTTTACTCCATGAAGTGTTTCAAGTGATAGTTACTGAACGCCCAATTGTTGGTTCTTCCAAACGTTCAACACAATTTCACAACGCCTAAACAAGATCACTTTTCCATTTTCAAATCAGTGAAGGATTCCTACTAGGATACAACAAAATACGTTTCCTACACACACACACACTCCTGCCCCTTAAAGCTTGCTTAACAGCAGACAAAGGAGGCACAATGCTACAAGCAAGTTACTAATCCTCATGACATCTCTTGGATGTTGTGTTGTATCGGCACTACAACATCATAACTGCTCCTCACCAGAAATTTCCACTTGGGATGGCAGAACAACTCAAAGTCATCATGAAATAATTAGTGGCAAGGAAATATTCTCAACCATTTATCACTTCAATCACGGACAAGATCCTTATAAAGCCATGAAATTTCATCTTTTTTTGCTGGGCTGTTAAGCAGTCTGCACTGAAGCCCAAAATTATTAGATGAGTTCATTCTGTAGGACACTCAGGAGCGAAATCCCAAATAGTCGTGCTTTTACGTCACATCTTATAGAGGGCTAATAGTTTTCCACATATTCTCAATCAACCTGTACAGGAATATTATTGTTTAACTTGTAAAGTTAGTAACACGCACACTTCAGCATTAGAAGTGCCTTTTGCTTCCAGAGTCTCAACACCTATCCATGAAACATGGTTCAAAAATGAAAACTGTACCAGCTAACAGATTAAAGACAATGATCAAAAGTTATGCATAGGACAGCCCTGAACTGGGCAATCACTGTAGACTGTATCACAGACACAGATACTCTGCAGATGTTCTGAAACTTTAGGAAGCAATGTTAAAGAAGTCAGCTGGCAGTCGTGCTTCCTAAAGGTACGAGCTTATTGAAAAAAACATGTTCCACTAAAACTTACCTGAAGAGCAGAGAGTGCCACAGCACCACAGAGACAAATGAGGGGATAGATGGGAAAGAGAAACCTCTCTTCTTTGTGGGGCTGACTGAAGAAAATCACGATCCAAATGTACATAGGAGCTAACGTCAGCCAGTAGGGACGGCCCAGATTCTGAACTGAAAGAAACAAACACTCAGCAAAGTAGTAGTGTAAGAATGAGGGGTTTATCCGACTCCCACTCTTGCACAATCATATCTCGCATCCAAAAGCCTGTTCTTCAGACCCAAACCATTGCCTTCAGACACAAACACACCATGTTCTGAGCAGCTGTGTTGCTAAAATCCAGGGAACATGTCCAAACAGTCAGTACAGAATTTTGATCAGAGAATTTTTGCAGATTCCTACAATACTAACAATTTCAACAAACTTTAGAAGACTAAAGGCAGAAAATAAGGGACTGCATTACTGAATGCAAGCAAGAGACAAAACACATCAAGAATCGACCTGTATAAACAGGTAGTCAGAAGTACTAGATTTCCTGCTGTGTATTATGCTATACATACAAAGATCAGACAGGATCTTCTCTGGATCTACCCTTCCACTTACAAATGGTTGTTCAGCAACTGAAGTTTCCACACCCTTCATTGCTTCATTACAAAAATAACAGCATGAGAGGTCTCTGAGGCACCTTCTGCCTAATGGAGGAAATAACTGATTCAAAAATAACAACAATTACCCTGAATTTTAGTCACGCTGAGGAGAGTTCTACAGTGCCTGACAATTTTCAGTCCCTTTTCTGCCCCCTTGCTACTCCCAACAGCAGAGTTAAGCAATTAAGCTAACAGCATTTCACAGACAATAAGAACAAAGCACTTGGCAGAATTGCTCCTGCTGTTAAGTACAAGAACACCAAGTGAACAGCAGGAAATCTTGCATTTACAGGATCTCCTACTGAGCTTTTACTGGTTTCTGACAGTATGTCAGTCATACCCAAGGAACAGATACAAGCAAATACCTGTTAACATACATTTTCAGCAAGGATTATGCTGCTATTGTTTCTTGCATTCAGTAAAAAATCAGAGTGTGAAGCATTAACTGGACTGATGAATCTGAAGGCTGCTGCTGACGCTTAATGACCCTTCCTTAGGAAAATGGCAGAGAAGAATTCACACTTCCTCAACACCTTTTTCCTCTCTAGAGTCACTTGCCAAATGTCATGTATCTAAACTGATGTCGTTTTATTTAAGAGAAAGCCCAGCGTGAATAGGGAATATTCTGGTTCCTCCTTTCTTATGCACCATACAACTTGTTAGGCTTGCTCTTGGTATGGATAGTTCAGCCTTGATAACACATTGTTCTTCTTGAGATGGAGGCAGGGAACACAGGAGTCATCCTTAAAGAGAAAAACACGTTTCTGCCCTTTTGCAGAGAGCACCTAAGTAGATGCGTCTCGCTGCGTGTCCTTTCTACACAGCAATTCCATTGTGGGGTCAATAGTGAACAACAGAGTAATGAGCTCTACGAACTTTCCTGTCTGAAGACTTTCTATGAACCTAGTTTCACTTCCAATGAAGGAAAGCTGCTCTTTGGCAGGCAAGCTCTCCCTTCAGTAAGAAGGTTGAGATCTGGGCTGTCTGTGCTTGGCTCTCACAGCTGTCCTGCACTCACCATGAAATTTCTGAAGCAGACACTCCATAAGACAAGTCAGTGGCAGCACAAGCAGTGCCAAAATAAATGCCACGTTGAAATTCAGAAAGCCATTGATGAAATAGAAGGACCAGGGCTCCGTACCTAAAGGATGAGAAAAGGAAACAAGACTTTTTAAATACAGGCATGTATGAGACCTAGATGTAACAGCTGCTTCATTCCTTCTCTGCCTGACACAGACTGAGATAATCAGCAGCAGACATCAATTCTCCCCATTGCAAGCATAATGGAATCAAAGAATGGAAAGGGTGTGGACAGAAGATCTTGCCGCTGGACAGAGGATGCAGCCCCATGGAATGGGCCTGAGCCATCCCAAAGCAGCCTCATGGTTCTGCCCCAACTCATTAAACTGCCGTAACAGTGGCATGAGAGTTAGCCAATAGACATACAAAGGCACCAGAGTATCTCATAGTCATGTCTGCCCAAGAAACTTCATTGTCTTCCTTTTCAGAAATTATTTTTCTCCTTCCTTTTTCACTGGGTCATAGTCAATATCACATCTGCTGCTCATGAATCACAGGACACTCTAACAGTCATCCTTGCCCAGCAAAGTTCTCTGACACAGAACTCACCCTTGCGTTAAGAAAGCCTACACAGCAAGAAAGTAGAGGCAGAAACTTGTAAAACTAGGAAATTTGGCTCCAAATTCATTCTTTCTAATTGCAGAGAAGTAACAGAGGAAAAATACAAAGACACACAATGTTAATAAGAGATCATTGTAATTCTGGAGTGATGATGTATACTCCATGTTGGCAGAAATAGAAAATGTACTAAAAAGGAATAAAAAAAGAGTTCACGTTCACACTTCACCCCAACAAAGACTCTGCCACTAAAGATCATTCAGATGCTAGTTTTGGTACCTCCTTAGAGGCAACACTATTTAAAAATGTCCCTACTTCAATCTGTTCTTACCGTGCAGCTTCAAACAGGAGCAAGCCAACTCTGCCTCCTAACTTGACATACTTGGGTATTGCTTGCAACCTCCAAAGGACGTAAACTGAAAGAAATTCCAGTCCAACTGTCATTTATTTGGACTCTTAATTCAGGATGCTTAAAATCCTGAACAATAAGGAATGCCAGTTCCTTTCCACACATTTGCCACTCTCTTCAGTGTGATTAGCTCAATCAGTCAGTAAATGACACGCGGGGGCTTTAATCACTGCACTGTTGTGACATGTGTCACATGTCGCAGCAATTTCCTGCAATCAGAGCCACTTAAATAGGGTCCATGTTGAAATTAATCAGACAACTGAACAGCAGCAAGGAAACCCCAAAACCTCCCCAGCTCCTAAATATGATTAGAAGCTGCACTAGTAATGTCAGAAACATGTCGTTGGAGTTACTAAGGCCAAGTCCAAGCAACTGAGGTTCGTTTAGGAAACCTTCAGCTATTAGCACTGAAAGCAAATAGCAATTACAGATTTGGACTTTGGGGAGCAGGGAGCCTTAAGGGAGTGAATTATTAGAAATTCACCTTCTCTCTCCTTCCACCTGCCTAATAATTCTTTTAAGTCCCACATGAGCGCAATCCTCAGCCTTCAAAAGGCTGAATATGGGATACGGTAGATTGAAAGATCATGTCAAGTGATGGACATGACAGTTCTCTGTATGGCAACATTGCAATAGTGCCAACATTCCTTCCTCCTCTACACTCTAGATCAGGGCTGCTGACTGGGATATGTCTATGAGGGAAAACCTGAGGCAGCCTAGGGTATCACACTGTAAATCTTCCAGTGGACATCTAGAAAAAGTGTGTGTAAAGGGGACTTTGGTTTCTTCCCCGCCCTGCTGCCTCCAGATTCCCTTCTGAGGCAATAGTACAGTTTTCTAAAGACTTACATCAGGGTTAACACTGCTTAGGCCACTCTAATAACTACTTCTATGGAGCACCAAGGCCTCTCCTTATATAAAAAAGGACTGGAACTGGGTTCTGTAGCTTGCTTCCCCACTCCCACTGCTATAAACAGCCACTTTATGATAGAAGATGCTAGTATGAGATAGAAACCTTCTTAAACTGATATAAGCTGTTACCCTCCAGTGTTTTCTGGCTACAATTAAGCTGCACATCACAGCCAAGTCCCAAATCTTTAAAGGATAGTACCAGGGACCATACTGTCACCCTTCTACCTGCCCTGGCTGCTATGGAAAGTAAAGGAAATTAACTATGGCTGTCTTTGGTCTCAGATTTGGTAGCCTGGCACTCAGGAATGAAGGACAATTCATGAAGCACACCCCCTCCACTATCCAGATACAGCCTTACAGGCCCAGACGTGTCCTGAGGGACTCTGCTAATAAAGAGGTCAGCTGGTCTGAAGCACAGCTTTAACGAAAAGGCTACTTTCTCAGATTTTTTTTTGCAGCGTGACTGAATTGCCCTTAAGAACTAGGCACTGGAAACTCCCCTCCTTCTCCAGTGAAGGATTTTCTTCCCTGGGTTAGGAGACCAAAAAAAAAAGGGAAAAAAAAAATGAGAGGAGAACAGTGAATTACACAGGCAAGTTAAATAACTCACAGACACCAGGCAAAAAGCAATAGTCTTGGTCACTGTGATGACTCACCCATTCAGAGGCATTCAGTCTCAATGCCTCCCAGGGCAAAATGCTTTTATTCTTGTTATCCACAAGGACTCAAGGTGATCTGAGAAAGAACTGCAATGTAAAATTAGAACAACTCCATTGCATACAAGAAGTCCTGGCCCAGAACAACATCTTTCAAGCAGGGAGGGACACTAAAGAACTCTCCATGCACAGTACTGATGGGAACATGCTTCCACAGCATCGCCTTCATACCATAACAGAAGATTTAACTTCCTGCCAGTATCCCACATGCCAGAGCTGAGCAGGTGTGGGCTGCAGGAGAGAGACTGATGAAAGCAGTGGGAAGAACACTGTGGCCCAGTCAGTTCACAGCACTACGGTTCCATGGGGATAACCAACTGGAAGCACTGTCAGACACTGTGCCAGACACTGGTTTGAACTTCGTGCTCTGTGACAGGCTCCAGGAGCAATTCTAGAAATCAAACTCACAAGTTAATAGAACTTAACAAGCTACCATGCTGCAGCTTGACCACAGCAATGGTGAGGGCGGTTCAGGACAAAGCAGAGGAGCTGTAAAATAGGCTTAAGCTAAGGTGCCCCACCCTATGTTTGTCACGGGTTGAAAGCCTGCATGCAGACAGGAACTGTAGTTCAGCTGTTAAGCAGTAACTAAGACTCAATAATTTGGTCGTGAGTCACAGCCCTCATTCTACGCAAGACTGATTCAGTGCTACTATAATAAACAGTCTGCTTTCTGCATTTCATTTATTTTCACTCTATTTAAGAACCAGGACTCAACAGAGCAAGGTGTCATAGAAACAGCTCCAGCACATTCCACCCAAGCTGAACAAAGCTTCCTAAAGTGCCACCACACTGCAAGTCACAGCCAAGGCTCTGATCACAGGAAGTGGGACAAAACTTTTATCACAAATTGTGCTTTCTTAGAACACATGTAAACAAAAACATCCCAACACCTCAGAATCAGGCTGAGGGATAGATGCTTAGAAGCTACTTTCCCTTGGTTGTACAAACTTAATCGCCCCAGGGAAATATTCATTGCACAGACTGTATTTATCCAGGAGTGTATTGCTAAAGATGACAACAACAACAAAACAATCGAACCTTGTCTCCAGAACTCCAGACTGCAGGCAAAAGGAAAAATACTGTGGTGCTTACATTGATGATGATATAGGTTGGTGACTCTGCAAACTCCAGCAGTTCCTGCTCCCATCATGTGAAGGCTGGGAAATCCCAGCTCCAAAGCCAAAAGGGATTGGCCAGCCTTTCATCTCTCCTCGTAGTGTTATTTTTCCCAAGTGTTTCGAAGCTCTCTAAACACACAGCATTGTCCTGGCCACACTGCATTAAAGAGCAATTTCAAGCAGGCTCTTTTACTAGCCTGAGGATGTTATATGAATGTCACTATGAATAAAACACTTCAGAATAGATTGGTCCCTGGAGGCTTCTGGAAACAACTCATGCATCAGTGTGGAAAAGGTCATGCACAAGCCTGTGCCAAAACCTATCAGAGACAGAGCCTGGAGTTTACTTACAGAAAATTCACAACAACAGACTTCACAGCCTTCCTGCAGAGATGAAGAACCATGGCAAAGCAGCTGTTGCCCTGCTGTGCCACAGCACAAGTAACAAATCACCACGCAGCACCACCCAAAACAGCCCTTCAAATGGACCAACAAATAAGGCCTGCAGGGCACTGCCAGAGAAAGCCTTGCTGCTAACCACTGCTGAATCCCTCCGAGAATATCTCAACAGGGCTTAAACAGATGACAGAGATGACACAGGGACCCTGCACCCTAAGCTCCCTGAAGTCTCTGCCAGCCGCTCTGAAGCTCCGCTAGAAATACAATACTTTTGTACTCTTCAGCTCTAGAAGCACATGATATGAACAACTTAGTACAGTGGCAGCTCCCAAACAAACACAGCATGGCCATCAAGGTTCAGACCTGAGATGTGGGTCACACAGTATCCTAAACAGCTAGTACCAGAGAGACCCTCGTAAGCAAATGATTTGCCTGCAGATTGGACGCCTTTACGGTAAGCTCAGATTCTGCTTGCCAGCAAAGCCCAGGCCACACACTGCCAATAAGCAAGGAGATTCCCAAGGCACAGCATGGACTCAGGAAGTCTGCAGAGATCTGATGTGAACTGAAAGAACTACGGATTCTGCACTGTAACTGCTTTCCCAAGGACTGTGAGGAACAACAGTCAAGAACTCGATTAAAGCTGACAAACCCACACATCTATCACTTGTCCCCACTGCACTGGCGTAGCATCCAGACACGTTTGCTGCTAACGGTTCTCTGCTGTGACGCTGAGACATCGCACGACGGTTTACAGGACTTGGAAGTGAACAAAATCAGCTTCACTCAGTGCGAAGAAATCCCACAGCGGCCTCGGATTCCCAGCTCGAGAGAGACATCATGTGGCAAAAAGCTGGAACTGCAGCACGCTGCAGCTTGCAGGCTGCTTTTGCTTAAAGTACGGCAGAAAAACGATCGGCAATCAAGACCTGACAGCAGCAAGAAAACTGCCGACTCCCTTCTTGTCTGGGTATCTTAAACTCACCATAGAGATCAGGTCCGTGAGAGGTGAAGACATTGTATAAAACAATGTTGAGAGGTGCAACTACCAGCTTCCCATAGTAATAGCTGTCCACAACTACCAAGGGCACCTGGAAGAAAGCATCTATTATTTAAAGTGCCACAAGCTTTTGCCTGGACTGCCCAAAAGCTCCATGGGATTTTCTTAACGGTGAGCCCACCCCTTCTATCGCAAGCCCAATCCATTCCCTCTTTGCATTGTTACAGGCACTTACCAAAAACAGGATCAATGACACCACACACCAGTTTAGGAAACTCTTCCACCTCTGCTTCAGTATCAACAAGTCAAAGGCAATAGGAAGCCTGAAAGAGAGACCAGGTAACTGGAGACTCTGTCTTTCCCCTCTGCAGGTTTTCCTGCCCCTTCAAAGCAAGCGGGGCAGTAGCTGGAAGAGAACAATCACTTCGCTGGGCTCTGCTTCTACTCCATATTCCAGTCATCCAACTCAGGTTTCACTCTCACGTGTGTTAGGCTCAGGAAATCTTCCCAACCTAAGTTCTTCAAAAGCGAAGAGATGAGGCTACGGAAGCCTGTAGCAATGATCCTGGACTAGGCTGGCACCTCAGTCTCTGCTAATTTCTTCCTGCAGCTCTCCAGCCCCTACAATCTCCCCAACCAGGCAAGAAACATTTGACAAAGTGCAAAACTCCTGAGCCCTCCTCTCCTTACCCAAGAGCTGCACTGAAGGGCCAGCCCAGAAGGGCACCAGCGGCCACTCCCAGCACTGCTACAGAAGTCTTGTCCATATACCAGCCAGTCATGGCAATCACTGTGGTGTACATGCAGAAACTGCTTGGGAGGAAAGCTGCAACACAAAGAAAGGAAGGGGTTAACACAGCTTTTTCAAAGCAGGAAAACTGCACAAGGCCAAGATAAGGCTAATCATCTCCCATTCGTTCCATTGGATTGGGATGCTATACTGGACACTCTCCTTTCAGTGACAGGAAAAAAAAAAGAGGGTTTTTTTTCTTCTTCTGCCAAGACCAGAAATGCTGCCTTTAAGTATGAAGGCCTCTTTCCTCAGTGACACTGAGCAGTGACATCCAGTTGACGGCATCCACAGTTACCACTTGTAACACTTGTTGCATCCTCTATATTCTGCTAGGTTGAAAAAAATGAAATGAATCTGCTCAAGCGGCAGCAGAAAATGTGAGCTGACAGGATACAGTCTCTGAAACATCTCAGCAGAGATTGGTGGGAACTAAGTGAAGAATGAGGAGACCTACGACACTTTAAAAACAATGAAGGGAAAGTCCTTTCTCCACTCACCATAAACAAAAAAAGGGTAAAATAGGAAATCTCAGCATTCATAAGTTGTGGTATTTCCCTCTAAGTTTCTGTATGCACACAATACGGAAAACCTTTGCTCAAAGTCTCTCTTTGCACTTTACTCAATACCTACAGCAGGTGTTTTATAAGTCTTGCAGTGGGTGGTAAACAAAAAAAGGGTAAAATAGGAAATCTCAGCATTCATAAGTTGTGGTATTTCCCTCTAAGTTTCTGTATGCACACAATACGGAAAACCTTTGCTCAAAGTCTGTCTTTGCACTTTACTCAATACTTGGAGTGGGTGGCTAGGCAAATGGGTACAACCAGCCAGAGCAGACAGGATACAAAGGCAAATGACAAAGCCAAAATATGACCCTCCTTCCTTGGATTAAAATATGTTCAAGGAAGGCAGGCCAAGACCCTGTTTAAAAGGCATGGCCCACTGCAGAGAGAATGGAGGCAGCAATAGAAACAAACATGCCCTGGACATGGAAAGATACAAGATTGTTATGCAGGGAACATAATTTGATTCAACACTTATTCTGTCATCACACCTGCCATGAGAAATACCTGTAGCAGAATACAACAAATGATTGCTAGAGAGATGTTTTAGTGCTGTGGATTTTCTTCTCTCTGGACCTGTCTTTGGTTTCTATGGACAAAAGCAATTGTTAGTGTCATTGCTAAGTAAACCTACCTGCAGATGAGCAAAACATCCCAGTACTGAGTACTAAGAAGGCCAACATCAGACGGCTTACATGTAGCCCAAACTTCTTGCACACAGCCCTAAGGAAGCAAGAGAGAGTTAGATACCACAAAAATATCTTCACTACGTAAAAGAACAGTACCCAATGCATGCAGAGCCGCAAACAATTCAAGGACCAACCTGAGAGCTTTAGAGCGGGTGATTCTCATTACTCAGCTGCTGAAGGCAACCTGAAGAGTAGTATGACTGCCTCTGGCCTGGGATTTCAGATCCTCATAAGTTACACTAGTTACTCTAGAAGAGACTTGGCTTCTACCGCTGTCAGTTGCGCTTGCGCAAATCTCAGGAACCGAGGGAGTCTGCATTGCTGTAGCTACATCAATCTGTCTAAGATTTTCACCCCTCACAAAATCCCATCATGCAAAAAGCCATAGCTTACATTCTTAAAACCAGACCATTGCCAACAGAAAATTTATGCAAGGTAATAGTTCAAAAGCCACAAATGAAGAGGCAGCAGGTAAAAATAAAAATCCAGCTTACACAAGGTAATTGTATGTTCAGGCTACTGCTATTAGTGGCTGTAAACACCACTGGCAGATACATTACAGACAGCAACAATCAATGTATTCCACTAAAATTCACTATGATAAGCAAACACAGCACCAGTCCGTCCTCCAGGAGAGCTCAGTTTACAACACTCCCATCCTGCTTCCCGGTATTAGTGAGAAAACGAGTGTAGTCAACAAAAGTCTGGAGTAGAGATATGGGTGGCAGATCTGAGAACACAATTTTGTCCTAACAGTGAAATTCTGACCAATATTTCATTAAGTTATCATGAGAACATATATTTTCAAGGTTCACTGTGAAGTAGCCCAATGTGTAGACACATCTACACGAGCTTCAGAGTGTACTTCCTGTGGCAATAACTGAATACGTTACTCACATTGCTCCAAAACACTCACTGTAGACAGCTTCTAATACTCACTTGTAAAAGTAGAGTTCACAAATGCAGCTCAGGAAGGCCAGGAAGCATCGGAGGAAATAGAAGATAAGAACCTAGGAGACATACCCGAGTCCAAACAAGGTTTGCAGTTAAGCTTAGGTACCTATTACTAACAAGTCAGTCCCAAGACCAAAAGTTCTGAACAGGGTGGAGCAAGTTTGGCAGTGGTGAATGAGCCTGTTCTTGTAGGCCCAGGTCCCGTATCAAGGGATGCTGAAGATACCAGTGACTCAAGGCCTAGCCCTCTAACACTGAAGTCCTTTACAACCATGAAAGTGAACACAGTCCACTGAACTTACCAGAACCACCCCTCTTTTCTGTTGTGCAGAAACATGCCAAATATGGCAATGGATACCCAAGCAGAATGCAGATTCAGTGCTTCTTCTTTTACATTTCTGTGAGTTGAGTTTGCGATATCCCTTGCAAAATACTAATTTTTTAATAGTTTATTGAAAAAAAAAATTCAAACCAGTCATCAATAGCTGGCCTGGGAAACAATATGGGCTTCTAAAGCATCAAAGTGAAACTCACAGGGGTGAATGAGAGCCTGCGGCTCCCAGGTAACTGTCCCCAGGCCTGCACACACTCAAAAGGCCAAGGAGCTACCAGCCCCTCTGGGACAGCTTCTCAATCAAACCAGAGCCTGACAGTATTTCCCTGCAACTGCCCAATCACTTTTCCTTGGATCCCGATGAGTCAGCTTACAAACCCCTGCAAATTGTTACAGGGAGGTTAGTGTTTGTAAAAAAAAAAATAACGTTTTGTAAACACTAATTCTCCTAACCTCTGACAACAAACAAAGCAGGTGTTCACCACAGACTAAATGCATGTTTATTCATCACAAAAGAAGCTTTCACACATCCGATTTACCTTGTTAGTTTGTAGAACTCTAGCGTGGAACAAGGCTGGCAAGGCATGAAGCCACAGGTAAGCATAGGAGCGGATGGCATAGGCTGGAGAGTATTCCCATGTCTGAAACCCCTTTCCATAAACGAGGTAGTGTGTCTACAATGGAGATTAAATAAATAAATATACATCACACAGAGTAGACAGTTTTGCATTTACCCGTCTCTGAATTCCTGAGTCAGAAAATTTCTCTTTGAAACACAGGGATTAGCACAAGGTTCTAGGTAAACCTGCATTTGCACAGGGCAACTACAAATTCCCAAGTATCTCCAAGGACAGAAAGCCACTTACTGGTTCCCAGTAGTTAAACGTCTCATCACAATCAGAGATGTTGCTTAAGAGAGCTGCACAGAACCTGGCTGAGATGAGACACTTGAAGGCTGTTGATCCTTCAGGGGCCCAAACTTGTCCTGCTTTGCTTCCAGATGATCTAGTCCAAAGGAAAAATACAAATATGCACCAAGAAGACTCAGTAACAAGATCAACACTAGCAACGTGACACCAGGCAAAGGACTGACAAGCATATTTGCATCTCTGCCATTTAAGCACTGTGTAAGTACAGATGAGTCTTTCACTCACTACTTTCTTCGGGGGATGCCAGTCCCCTCCCAAGGAATCTCCATCATCCCCCCTCACCGTACCGGAGCAACGCCCCTGAGTGCTTAGCCCACCGCTGCAAGACAGCCCCCCAGGACCTCCCCGTCCTCGCCCAACAGCGGGGAGCAAAGCCACGCACCAGCTACCGCAGGCCCGGAGGAGCTCCACCGAAGGGAGACCGGGGAGACCCATTTCCACAACCCACACCTACCCGGCTGGGCCCCCACCACGACCACCCGACGCGGGGCTCACGCGGGGCTGCGGGTACGTGTGAGGCGTTAAAACCCAGCAGCGAGGAAACACCGGGGCGGATGCTCGCAACGGACACGGCCCGGCGGGCGCTGGGACAGCTGCGACCCCGCCCGAGGGCCGGCTGC